CAGATATATAGTAGATCAGGAGTTTCATTCCCCTCTATCATTAACATGAGCCAAATTAACATAAATATCTTTATGATTTGTCTGAATGCTTTTCACTTTTCATGCAGTTTTAAGTGATCAATACAACTCACAGTGGTTGTATTCCTGGCAATGTATAAAGTTGTATAAATCAGTCATTATAAATGTAAAATAATTGTTTTGAGTATATAATTTAGCAAGAACTAGATATTGCCATGGCAGTAGGTTATCTCGTATAAAAGTGAATGTTCAACTAAAATTGTTCAGAACAATTTCTACATTACTGGCTCCTTCAACAATTTTAAGATACATGAAATGTGTATTTTTGCCTTTTTGTAGAAGGCTTCTATTATGTTATTGAAAGAAGTTTGTACATCTGTAGGACCCTGTTTATATTTTGATGCTTTTTCTGCATTGAAGTTTATATGAAGGTTTATTTTTATCGTAGGCTTAAACTCACTGCATTGACACTGATGGAGTGAAGCAACAGTCCACTACATTAATTTCAATTATATATCCACGGCATTGATCATATGAATTACTGAGGAGGTAAATTAGCCACATACATAGACAAGAATCAGTACTGTTAGCATTTTGGGGGGGCAATAGAGAAGCAGAATATAAGAAAAAGTAAAAGTGGCCTTTCTATGTAAGGAATGTGAGGAGGAGCCCAAAAAAACCAAGGTTTTTTTTTTACTATGTGGTTAGGGGTATATCTGACTTTTGACTAGATGTGGAGATTGGAATAGACGTTTCTGTCATGTGAGGAGCTGACTGGAATTTTCCTCAGGCCCCTGGGAAAGGAATGAGAAGGTTGTAATCAGGGAAAAAGAGGAAGTGGCCATATGGTTAGCATCCCTGATTGGGCCTTCCACCATGTTCAACTACCACCAGGAGGTCCTGTAACTCATTCAAGGGCAAAAGTCTTTCAAGTACATCCCTCAGTTTGAATGATGAAATGAAAATAAAGAAGGTTTGCTATGTGTCTTCCTCCAATGCTGGAGGTAACCATTCACAAGAAATATTTTGAGTCATATCCTTAATAAATTGTAGATACCATAACCAAAATTACAGATCAGTTCACTTTCAGAAAACAGAAGCAGCACTTAAATGCAGGCATAAAGGCCTTCAATGAGAGTATCCCTGAAGATATTAGATCAGCTTTATAGAACACAAACTGCTATTCATTTATCTGAGTTCACTAAAGAGAAAAATTTATAATGGTATTGGTACAGGGGAAAGAAACTCCTGATCTACTATGTCTGGTGTGAGTTTGTGCTCTCTAAAATTAAAGCATAAATTTTAGGAACAACAGAATTTAAGAGTAGAATATATTTATTGGGAAAGAAAGCTGTCTGAGAGAGAGAAGGGGTCCTGAGTGGGTTGCCAAAGACTGTCTTTTCTAGGGACTTCTATAGAGTAAAATCATTTTGTGAGGTGGATTTAAGGTGGGAATACTGGGAGCTCACAAGGCAGATATGCATAAGATGGGACAGAAATATGGCAGCCAATAAAATTAATAGTTCAGGTAAAAGTGATTAAATTGAGATCAAATGGGGAAGCCTGTCACACAGAAACTAGGCGTTTTTATGCAGTAGTAACTCTTCAATTAAGGGGTTCAGAAGGTGACTCATGATTTCACCAGGATGATAGGAATTATTTGGAATAGCAGGCTTTACTTGAATGGTAACTGCTGACTTCCTCAGAGTGCTAGAGAACCATTTCAAATATCAATCCTTACCATATGAATACATTTGCTTAATCTTTTGTCCTGAAGTCTGACGCTTAGCAGGAAGTGTCTGCCTTCCCTATAGTTGAAGGTATATGGGCTTCTGCATGGGATCCTTGGAGAACCTAGCCCTGTCTCACTGCCAACATTATTTGACTAACTCAGCTGCCCATTACAGTATTGTTTGGAAAATTGAATACAAATGTCTTGTGCTCTGGTATGAATGATCGGGGGATGACAGTGTGCAAAGTATTTACCATTGTTGTCCCCTGATTGACATGTTTTGAAATTTAGTTTTAGTTTATTTTTACCATTGAAATCAAATGGAATTGGAAATAAAAAGCCTGAGGTAAATCTCTTTGGTACAAGCACTCCTCTGTGGATATCAGCACTGTAGAAGACAGTCAGCTCCAGAAGTCAGCACTACAGTCTATCATTTGGGATCCAGTCTTGCAGGGAGGGGTTCCTTTCCCTGTTTATTCTTGATTCAGGAGGAGAGCAGTAGAGAAAGACTGAATCACTGATGAAGAGGTGGGCTATATGAACTGTCCAATCAGATGGGCCACAGCAGGCGGTCTCTTAGGTCTTCCTATCTGGGCATTATTTACCCATTGTGAGCACAGTACTGGAGCAGAATGTTTGCTGGATCTCATTTAGTGGTTTCAATGTCATGTGGCCTGATTAGGAAAGAATGACTCATTTCCTTAAATTTTGGGAAACTCTAAATTAAATAAAGTTAAATATTTTTTCCTACAAAACTTTTTAGAACCAGTACTACGCAAATAGTTATCCCAAATCTTCAATATTTTCCAAGCTTGTTGGTCCACTGAAATCTTTTTTCATTTACCATAAGGGAATCACTAAAATATTTTTTTAGGGAATGAAACTATATGCAAGATTCTTCTAGTTGGTTATAAAACCAACTAATTCAGCAGAATAATGTAGGATTATATTTGTTTATCAGAATAAATTTCTGTTATTTATAATGAATTTTTTAAAATATAAAATTATGGATCATGAAATTTCAAAAAATTAGATAGAAAAGTCAATGACAATAAATTCATATAACAGCACCTAAACAATGATCAGTAATTCTTCTGGACATCACAATTCATTTCTCTTTCTCCCATTCATCATGGCTTAAGCATGTATGAAAATCATGAAAGATTCTGCCCAAAATAATAAAGAATATCTGAATCTTAAATTGATTTGTTGGTCTTTTCATATTGTCCTATCCTAAATGTTAATACTGCGTGGTATCCTGTCCTAAACTGCCATCTATTTCTATATAATATACGGTCATGAATTTAAAAATCCATGGTAATCACTGAGTTAAAAAGGATAAGAACTGTGACAAACTAGATGGCACATTGCCCACCTACAGAACCAAAATTGTTTCACAGATCCCTGCAAGAATACTACAGTAGGATAATTTCATCACGAATTCTTTCACTGAAAACTGGGAATCTAATCTTTTTGGCGTGAGGGTACCAGGCACTGAACTCAGAACACTGTGCTTGCCAGGTAGGCGCTGTGCTGCTGAGCTATATCCCTCTTCTCATTTTTAATTACCATCTGAATGTAATGAACCTTTACAGTTCAACACACCTAAAATTGAACACTGCTTTACTTCAAAACTTAAATCTTTGGCTCTCTTTCAGTAACAGGCACTATTATACACAGTTCTTCAAGACAAATACCTCGATACCATCCTTGAATTTTCTCTTTATATTTGTTCCACTTCTTCCTCTATTTTTAAAATAAAACAGCTTAACTCTTCCCCACAAAGTATTATAATTTTTACCCAGAGTATAATTTTTTACTCTCTCTCCAATCATTTCTCCATTCCTGAATAGGATATTTTTAAAATTTAAATTTAATCAAATTACATCTGTCTAAAGCCATTTAAAGTCTAGCTTCCTATTGACTTTAAAGTTCAAACTACTCAGAGTGGCTTATAAGACTATTTATATATATGCCCTGATTACAGCCCCAGATATATCTCTTGCCATCTTCTCTTCCAGCCATTCAAACCAACCAAAACTCAAAACATTTCTAGTCATGGAACATAAAATTCTCACCATATCTTTTGAACATTTTGGGGTTTTTTCCTGGAAAATTGTCATCTTTGTCCTGATTCTTCACTTGTGTATCTGAAAACTCATCCTTCAGCTCTCAGCATAGATATAATTCCCTTCACAGAGACTTTTCTGAGGTTTATATCAGATGATTTTCTTATGGAATTGTCAAAATATATTTCCCATAATAATTATCTTTCTATTTAATCTTTTTTCTTCAAATAGCAATGTTTGATTAAAAGCAAACCTAACTCTAAGAATTCCAAAATGTCACGATAAAATTTAATCATATGTAGAAAAAAGGTTACATTTTTAGAAATACTATATGTACTCCACCAGAAATAACTATTTATGTGCTATCTCCTATATTTTCTCATAGAAATATTTTTAATGACACTTTAGTACTGCCATTCTATGATATCCTTAGTCATCACTCTTTCAATGCAAAATGTTTCAGGTTCCAAATAACCTATATAAAATTTTAGAAACATGAAAATAAAGGTTAAGTGAAAAGCAGCCAAATGAGTACTTAAAATAGGAATAATCAAATATCTTTTAAAGACAATTCTTTCATTTTGCATACCCAGAAAATAGGTTTTAGAATTTGTGGATTAAAATTATATTTATAAAATGCATATTGAAGCATATTTTATTACTGTCCCATACACTTAATACATATTAACAGAAAGTGGAATGTAATTTCTAATGTATTGCAAGAGGTAGAAGGCAATTAAGAGGCAATTTTGGGAGACTGAAAGTTGACATTCACAATCTATCATGGAGGAATTACAATTCCAACGAACTCACTTTAGGAAATTTGGTCAAAATAAACCATTGATAATTTCTTAAAAGATATTCCAAAGGCATTGCCAGAGGCTTGAATTCTTATAAATACAGAATTTATAAACAAAATGATGGACACTCTTCTAATACTGGAGAGCGCCCGGCGCCAAGACCAGAGACACCGGCGGAGCTGCCCTAGGCGGGCGCACCCACGCCTGTAAGCCCGCCGCCCTCCGCGACCTTCTCTTCCCGGATTGGCAGGCGGCTAGCGGCGGTGAGGCAGGCGCCTAAATCCGGGTCCTTAGACGTTCGTCCGGGACGCAGCGCTCGCCGTCCAGCCGCGCTTCCTTCACACCTGCTGGCATGCGTGTGGGCGCCCGCGCAGGGTCTGTAGGGGCCCGTGGGCGCGCGTGTGTGTGCGCTCGGCCCGGAGCGCGGCGGTCTGCTGAGGGTGCTTGTGTGCTCGCGCGTTGGGTGCTCGGCCCCGGGGAGCGACGGCGGGAGCCTGACTCCGCGCGCCCGGCCGGCTCAGGCGGGACTTGCGCCGCAGCCGCCACCGCCTCGCGTCCCCTGAGGGCCGCTGTCGTGCTGCGGAGAGCGCCGGGGCGGGCGGGCGGACGCCGCGGGGGCTGCGAGCGGCTGGTTGGCTGGGGTGGGAGGAGGTGGGGTGGGGGTCTAGAGGCGCGGGCGGGAGGGGCCGGGATGAGGGTGCGGGGCAGCGCGGAGGCGGCCGGCGTCGCCGCGCGTCCCTCCCGTCGGCTGTGGTGCTGTCAGCCGCAGAAGTTTTGGGCTCCGACTGTTGGGAATGGGGAGTGGAATAAAAGGCGTCTTTGCCTCCCAAATTTCTTGCCGAGAAAAAAGGCAGGGTTGAAGATGACAGAGGGTTGGGGGGGGGGTCGCCTGGAAGATGGTGGCAGAGTAAATTGCAGCAACCCCCCCCCCCACAACGTTTTTCTGGAAATAAAAATTATTCTAGCTGAACCTTTAGAAGGAAATCCCGCCTTGAAGAGAGACGCGGATGGTCTTGTTCTTTTGATTCTGGTTTGATTGTATAATAATAATGATATAATACTAATGACGACACTGCCTTTTATTTTGACCCCAGTGCTGTCAAAGCGTAGTTACAGCTGGGGATAAAGCCCTTGAAAATCTGATGTATGAAGAAGGAATACAGTTGCTCTAGGAATGGTCTTTATTTTATGAAGATATGTATTTTAGAATTAAAATTTGACAAAACGAGGCCTTTCTTCTTTTCCACTTTTCAGCCAATGCTCATAAAATGGGGCTGGCTATTACTGCCCGAATATGGAAGAATAAATGATTTTACCCGGTATAATTCTATGTAGTTAGTCAACCCTTTCTCTTTTCCTTTGACTTTCTCAACAGTTCTTAAAATGAAGAAGTTTAATTTCCGAAAAGTTTTGGATGGCTTGACTGCCTCCTCACCAGGCAGTGGCAGCAGCAGTGGCAGTAACAGCGGTGGGACTGGTAGTGGTCCCTTGCATCCAGGAGGGACAGCTGGAGTTCTGAGAGAGGAGATTCAGGAAACCTTGACTTCAGAATATTTCCAGATTTGTAAGGTAAATTGTGCATTGCTTGAGGCCTATTATTTTTTCATTATATTTCTGTGGAGAAACAAGGAAATAAAACATCACAGTAAGAATCGTTGAGATGCCAGCATCAAAGATCATTTTATCTCATAAATTTATGAGATACAAAATCTTCAAAATTATAAAAATTAAAAAAGCAAAAAATTAAAAATTTTTAGATATTTAAAATTAAAATTTAAAGTTCTCAAGGTGATTTACTTCAGCAGTGTTCTGGAATACATATTAAATGTTTTTTAAAGGTAAAGCAAAATAGCATATGAAATTTATAAATGAGATGTAAGGCTTAGAACACCTTCTTACATAATAAAATTAAACTTACAATGCATTAATTGAGACTAAATGCTAACACAGGGAAAGTACATTAAAATAAATGTAATCATGCTAAAATTGATGAATATTTAGTCAAAAACAACAAAATTATGCAATTTGAGTGAATTTCATTGAATTAGAGTTTTGAAAATATTAGCTTATTTAATATGTAAAATGTTAAGTGGTACATGAAACAAACTACGTGGTATGGTTTATAGCTTTTGCTAAGACTTGCTGAAATTAAATGGTAAGCTTTAGGTGTTTGTGTCTAGAGATTTATGCTCATGGTTGGGATTTCTGTCATTACAAAAGTGTGAGGGCCATTCTTATATCTTTTCAACCACTTTGTTCCTACTTTGTGGGAGATGCCACAGAAGGCTGCTGACAAGTGCCTACACCTTGACCGTAGCCTTCACAGCCTGTGAACCCATATGCTGAAACATGTCTGTTAAGTTTAATCTACCACGTCTCAAGTATTCCATTCTACTAGTCCAAAATGAAATCAGATAGCCATTAAAAACAACAGAAGTGTTAAAAATGTGAGCAGTTTTCCTAGGCTAAAACAATGCTTTAATACCATTAATATATTTAATTTGATGCAATTTATTAATAGTATGTAGAATAAGCCATATAAATACATAAACCATCAAAAGAGGATATACGGTACATAGTTAATAATTACTCCATAAAATACATGAATAGTTTCAAATAAATCTAAGTTATTTCAAGATAGGAAAGTAAATTAATTATAATTGGAAGAGGGGAACTTATGGTCAGAAAATTGAAAGTTAAAAAATTATACTTCCAAAATATAGTGGCTTTTGATGTAGACCCATTTCGAGATTAAAAGAAAAGGAATTTAATATGGCAAAAATACAAATTTCTTGTGGTGAGATACAGTAGTGCCTTGGTTTATAATCTATTTGTTTCACAATTTTGGGGAAAATAACTGTGGTTGCATGGGTATAACCACGGAAGTAAAACTTGTGTGTGGAAACAAAGTTTGCTAAATGTTTTGTTTGCAAACCAAATTGTTTGCAAACAGAAGAATTCATATACTGAGGTATTATTGTATTTAAAAATCCATTCTCAGCAATTTCTAAGTATGTGTTAAATCATCAATAGTCACCATTTTTTAAAATGAATATACAGAACTTAACATTCTACCTAAATGAAGTTTGTGATTTTTCATTAACAGCCCTTTTTCGATTAACCACGAACCCCCACTTCCTGTGCATCAGCCTTTGTTAAATATCATTCTACCCTTATGAGATCATGTAGCATTTTTCTTTGCCTAATTTCACTTAACAAGTGAAAGTTCTTTTATATATTATAAATGACAGAATACTTTCTTGTGTAAGACTGAAAAGCGTTCAGTCACACACAAGCACACCCACATACACAGCACTTATGAATAATATTTTCATTATCCATTTTTCTATCAGTGAACATCTAAGTGCATTTCATGTCTTGAGTATTTTGAAGAATTCTGTAATCCATAGGAGAATACAGATCACACTTTCACATAACAGTTTAAATTTCTAGTCACATACCAAATAATAAAATTATTGGATCATATAGCAGGTCTAGTTTTATTTTTTTGAGAAACTTCCACCATGTGTTCGATATCAGTTTACATTCCTTATAACAGTGTGCAAGATGTTACTCTTCTTCACCTCTTTCGAACACTTCTTATCCTTGGTATTCTTGATAACAGTCATGCTGACATTTGTGAATCAGTATCTCCTTGTGTCTTCAATTTGTACTTTTCTGATGATTAATGACATTGAGCATTTTTCACAAAACTGATAGATTTTTTTTTATGTTGTCAATTGAGAATATTATAACTTCATTTAATCATTTTATTCACATTATTTTTGTTTGGTTGGTTATTGAGCTGAAGTATTTTCTAGTTTTGGATGTTAAACTCTAATCACATGTATGATTTTTGCCCACTTCATATTTTGTTTACTCTAAATAAACTGCTTAGTTTTATTTTTGGTGCTTTAAAATTTTTAGTCTAACAATGAGTGTCTAAACTACGGATTATATGCTTTCTAGGAGACATACAGCTAAACAGGTCCCTATCATACAGTGACCTATAACTACAGCTTTCCATAGTATTCACAAACTTTTTCCTCAAATTTCTAAAAATTTTACGTTTTCAGACCTTTAAAACTTCATTTAAAATTTATTTTTATTTATTGCATAAGGAAAACACATAATTTCATTGCTTTGTAGATATCTACTACTCCGGGCATCAGAGGTAGCCATTCTTTTATGCGCTCTTGGAAATGTGCAAGGAGCAACTGTTTGCAAAAGCATAGATGTATTTCTTTTTTTTTTTTTTTTTTTTTTTATTTAAAGAAAAGGAAACGAAAAAAAAATACATGGAGATTAAAGAAAAAAAGGGTAGAAAAATAATACTAAATTACAGACAAACAAAAGGTAAGAAATTGCCAGTTGATAAGTTACAAATTGTCTTCTTCGAAATGGCTGTTTAGGTTATAGAATTAAAGTATTTAGAATGACATTCAAAAAAGTGACCCTACAAACCATTCTGCTCTATGGCCGAACAAAAGCTCCGTAATATGATTATCAGTCCCACCTATTTGTTTTACATCTCTAAGAGGATAAGGTTAATCATATCAAAACAGAACAGAACATTAAAAAAAAAATAAAAAACAATTTAAAGAAACACAGATTTCAAAGCAAGTCCACCGGAGATCTACCTTATCCAACTGTCTCTAGCCTCTTACAAATAGTTGTCCCTAACTTCACCCACTTTCTATACTTATTGCATATTATAGAACTAATCAAATCATTACAGGATGATGGAGTCTCTTTAGGTCCTCAAGTTCCAAATTAGGGAAGACATTTCCAACTACTTTCGCATCTCTCATTCTCTTTGTGATAGCCGTCCCCATCTCTGCATATGCTGAAGTTGAGCTGAAGAAACCAGTCCAGAGTCATTTTAATCAGCAAGCAATAGGTTGCTAGAATTTATATTATAATGCTACAAAATAAGCCTCGGGTTTTTCAGGTCTCTTCCTCAGAGTATTTGTTCCTATCCTCTCTGTATTATAGGGAAAACCAAGTCATAACAAGACAGCGAAACAATTTCCTAGATAAACATGCAATGGATAAGACTTACAAAACTATAATATAAATGATCTTCCGTAGCTACTATGTTTTCTCTTGTTATTTTCAATAGATTTGTCGGCAACACTGGCTTATTATAGTTAAATATACTATCACCTATTTTTATAAAAACTTATCTTTGACTGCATTGTAGTATTTGAGAGCTGTTACTGATTCATACCAGTATGGATATCCTTTACATCCTGTCATGCTCAGAGTAGTTTCCTCTACTTTTAGGGTTGATTCTAACACGCATACAGATTTCAAATAGGATCAGTCAAGGCCAACCAATAGTCTTATGATTCAGATACAATTAAGATCAGTCATAGTAAGACAATGTAAGTAATACAGGATTTCAGCTTAAGTCAATAGGAAAGTAAGGATGGTTACCATGGTATAACCTGCTATTTTTGGTTCTAGAGGTCTGTGTCCTCAAATCTGATATGAGTGGACAGACCAGAACAAATTTAATTCAATCTAAATATGGCACTAGGACTACCGTGTCTTTTAAATCGTTATACACCATTAGCAGTGACCTCTGCTTTTTTTTTTTTTAAATATAGTTTCAGAGCTGTCTCTACCAAAGATTAGCTTACCGTCTCTGCCTCATGTCTGCTACTCCACTTTTCTGCTATAATTTGTCCACCTTATTCCCTCATTCCATGGTCTGCCCCGTACACTGAGGCCTCTCTGCCACTGTAGCTGTAATCCTGATATCTCTTCTTCTCTTTCTCTGTAATGTCCTTCAGCGCTCTCTGTAGGGTTGGATTGGTGGCCATGAACTCCCACAGTTCCTCCTTGTCTTGAAAGTATCTTATTTCTTCATTAATTTTTAGAGAGAGTTTTGATGGATATATGAACTTAGGTTGCATATTTTTTTCCTTCAGGACTTGGAATATTTCTCCCCACTCCCTTCTTGACTTAAGAGTTTGTGTTGATAAGTCTGCTGTTATTTTGATAGATTTCCCGTTATAGGTAACCTGCATCTTTTCTCTGGCTGCTTTTAATATTCTGTTTTTTTGGTGGATTTCTGGGATCTCGATTATTATATGCCTAGGCGTAGATCTGTTTTGGTTGTAGGTAGCTGGCGTTCTGTATGCTTCTTTTATCTGGATATCATTTCTTTTTGCTATACATGGGAAATTTTGCTTTAATATCTCTGTGAATATTTTTTGTATTTCATTTTTGGATGTTCCTGCTTCCTCACTCACATTCTTTATTCTTAGGTTATGCATCTTTTTATCATCTTCCAGTTTTAGAATTGCTTCTTTCTGGTTCCTTGTTATTTTTAAGAGGCTTTTTCTTTCACGTTCATAAGCCCTAAATCTCTCTTCAAGTTTCAGAAGGTTGTCTTTAGTTTCTGTCAAGGCATTTTGCCAATATTCAATGGAGTTTTTAATTTCCTGATTTTCTCTTTGGATCTGTTTCATGTATTCTAAGTTATGCTTAAATTCTTCAGATGCTTCTCTTTCTTTTCTGATTTCCTCAGTTCTTCCATCTGTGTTCTCTTGGGCAGGGCTTGTCATTTCTTTAATTAATCTCTTTATATCTTGCCTCACTTGGATCAGGAGTACATCTTTAAATTCCTCTATGAGATCATGTAAATACTTTTTAATTTAGGCTGATGCTGAGTCGAGCAATGGATGGTTACTGTGCTTGTTCTCTTCAGTGTTTAGTTCTCTTGGGTTTAATTTCTCCTGTTGAACAGCTGGAGATTTTTTTTTATTTTTATCTCTTGTCATGTTTCTGGTTTCTTTCAGACTGTCCTGGAGTTCTCTGGCCCTCTCCGAATTGCTTAGGGCCTTTCAGAAGCGTGCTGGCTTGAGTTTTTGCTGTCCTCCCCAATTTGCAGTTATCTGGGGTAGGCTGGGATGCAGGGGCGGTACAGTCTAGTCTCTAGCCTCTGTGTCAGTTAGTTCATAAATTAGGCTGTACTTTCTGGTTGTCACTGAGTTGTGACCATTCTGCATCCGCCCATTGGGCCCCAAGCAGAGGCCTGATCTAGCCCCAACAGCTCCTGCCAGTTCTCCCTGAATCAGAAGCAGCTGGGTAATGGCACAGGATTCTGCCCAGGTCCCAGCCATTCTCTTCCAAACCTCTCTGTGATAGGAGCTCTAGAAAAGCAGATCTGCCCAAAACCAAGATGGCTCCCACTAAGTTCTCCATGCGGAGCTGAAGCCAGCAAGCAATCAGACTCTGCCAGGACTCAAGATGTCTTCCACCAGCCCTCCCTACAGGGGGTCCTGGTGATGTCACCAAGCTGCGGTTTCAGCCGCCAGGCTAATATGTCTGCACCAGATTCTGTGTTATTGATTTCCCCGTGGTGGCGGGCCAGCTGTTCTCTGGCCAAACCCAGCCGCCGCGGGGTTTTCTATACTCACCAGAGTCCGGTGCAAGTCCCCGCTCCGGGACCGCCACACACCAAGCCGTCCACTTTTCCCCACCTCGCGGCTCAGCGCTGACTGGTCAGATTTCTGTGCACCGTTTAGATTCGAAACGCCAGAGCTCTGTACATCTGCTCTGGTGCAGCGGTGCAGAACTGGCTGCCGCCTGGAGTCTCAATCTGGGTCTCAGTTTCCGCAGTCCCCAAAAGCAACTCAGCTTTTCGTGTTGGGTCCACGAGTCTGTTCGTTGATTTAAGGGCGCGGGATTTGCAGCCTCCGGTCTCAGCACGACTTTAAATCCTCCAGCTGTACTGTCTTGGTTGATAAGAATCGCTATGGGTTTGTCTGGTCCTCTCCATGCTGTCTTTTTTTTTTTTTTTTAGCTTTGAGTTTGAATTCTCTGGAGAGATTCTTCGCTCGATCCCCTAGCACGCCGCCATTTTCTCTCCTCTTTCAACATCGATGAACCTTCACTGTGAGCGTCTGATTATCACTGTGTTTCTCAGGAACTGTCTCATCATCCACCAAACTGGTCTCACCATGAGCAGCTCTTCACGCACACCTCCTACCACAGCCACCAGAATTCTCACTAGGATAGCAGTCTTCAGGGAAAAATGACACCTACAGAGTTGTTCATATGTTTGAGTGCATCATGCTGAGTTACAATGCTGAGAGGAAACTAAAGGGCATTCATCTGATAGGGTTACATTTTTAAAAAGCAGCAATTTAAAACTTCCTCCAAAGTACCCCGTCTGCCGCTAAATCATGTATAGGAAAGATCTGTCCAAGGCAGCCTCAGGATCCCACGCAAACTCTCCATAGATGTATTTCTGAGCTCCATATTCTGTTCAGTTAGCCTGTATTCTTGTTTTTATGCTAGTCAGTTTTTATTATAATAGCTTTAAAGTATACCTAGCATCAGTGTGATGCTTCTAGACACATACTTTTTGCTCATAATCAGTTTGGCTATTCCAGATTTTTCATGGAATTATGTACAATTCAAATTATATGTTATAGACCTACGTTGAATATCATTAGAATTTCAATAGTGATTGCAGGGTCTCTGAAGAGTCCCAGATGGGTAAACATGGCCATGTTACCAATATTGAGTTTTCAATGCATAAACGCAGGACATCTTCCCATTTCTTTGTTTATTCACCAATTTTTTTAATAGTGTTTTATATTTTCAAGTAAAAAGAGCTTCAAGCTCCTTGGGTAAACATATTCTTGAGTATATTTTTTCAGTTATTCTATATTGGATTATTTTCTTGATTTCTTTTTTGAATAGCTAGCATATGAAAAAATGCTACTTATTTTTGTATCCTGCAACTTTATAGAATTTATTTATGAGATCAGAAGTGTTGGGATGTAGATCCTGGGATATTTTTAGGCAAAAAATAGTATTTACATTATAGTGTCTTTAACATTTTTCTTACCTCCTTTGCATGTTTGTTTTATTGGGTCCTATTAGTTATACACGGTGGGAAGTTTTGACATATTTATTCATGTGTGTAACCTACACTTAGCAAGCTCACTCCCTCATGGATTCCCTGTTCCTCTCTTCATCCCCTCCTTGATTTTTTCCTGTAATAGCTTCCTTTATGCTTTCATATAAGCTTGTGTTTCCTTTCTAATTTTTTATTTTTTAGATTTTACATATGAAAGAAAACTTGAAAATTTGACTTTCTGAGTTTTGCTTATTTTACTTTATATAATTATCCCAGGTTCAGTTTGTTTTTAGAGATGACATTTTACTCTTCTTTATACCTCATTAATATCATTTTGTAACTATGCCATATTTTCTTTACTTATCCCTCAGTGGACATTTAAGCTGCTTTTATGATTAAAATATATTTGCAAGAAGCCCTGAAATGTTACTTAGTCACTCGCATTGGTATTCCTCCAGACTTCATGGCACACTCAATGCTGCAGAATTGATTCAGGTGTAAGTTCAAAGACTGAGGTCAAGAGTATTGTCATGTAGACCTTCATGCTTCCCACTCCCGCAGGTGCTGCCATGATAAGCATGCTTGGTTCTGTGCTGCAGAGGAAATGCCAGCCTCATCTTCCTACTTCTGGCTTCCTTTCTCAACCATCATATTGCAATATATTCTAATTGCTTTTCATTTAAGGAAACAAAATGCTGGGTAGAAGCATCAGTTGATAAAACCAGTATTTAATTTACAACAACATCGTACTTTGGGCAAAAGGAACACAGATGTGACTGACTACTTGGGGACTTGACAGAGTAAAGCTGTTTAATTGTTATTCACAACTCTTATACTCTGAAAATGGATTTTTATAATTCATTTCAAAGTACAACAGCTATCAATCTATGACAAAATGTCTGTCTTCTGGAGACTAAAATTGTCTCAATAGCTGTTGTCTTGTTCAGCTTTTAACTCTCATTATTCTATTTACTAAAGACAAGATGACCACTTTCTGACATTGATACAAAATACTGACAGTACAAGTTGAATGCTAGTGAATAACACAGCTGAGGGATGAAAAACATAGAAGATCACTGGCAAATGCCACTTACTCTCTATTGATTGATCAAATGCATGTGTTCACTGTGATTATATTGTGCATCCACACAGACAGTTGCATTATATTGTGCATCCACACAGACAGTTGCATGTCCTATCTAAGATAAACCTTCCAGCATGAAGGGAGAGTTTCAAATGTGGAAATAGCTAAGTAATACTTACAGTTCATCTTCCATTGTGCTAGAAAAACACTGCTCCATTTCTAAGCTGCAATGGTAATGAGCAACATAATTATTCTTTTTTCATTTCATTAAGATGCCCTAATTATCCTGCAGTCCCCAAAAGGAATTTCTTCTAGATTTCAGAAAAAAAATTTCTCTTTGGGAAATTCATTCATTCATTCTCTCTCTGTGTCTGTCTCTCTCTGTTTCTCTCTCCATCCATCCCTCTCTCTATCTTTCTCTTTGAGATAGGGTTTCCCTATGAAGCCTAGGCATGCCTTGAATTCATGATGTTTACAGGCATGTTAGGAATTATATTGACTATGAAAATTCCACTTATTTTCCAAATATTTAATTAAATTTTTGTCTACCAGTCAATATTGGAGTGTTTGTTCCATGAAAATCATAATGAAGAAACTTAAGACCATGTATTCCATATTTATGATCTTAAAAAATAGACTAAAACATACATGTGTACATTCATGCGTGAACACACATTCATACGTCTGGAAAATGTAAAAAAAGAAACAATTTTATAACAGACTCTTGGAGAAATAATCAGCTTCTTTCATTAGTTTCATTGCCTCCACACTCACAAGGTTTCAGTAGAGATTCTTACAGATGTTTACATCCTAGATTTAATAACATAATATAAATATAAAGTAAAATGTTAATTAAAAGTCCATTTTACATGCATTTTAATGTAAATTTTATTAGATTTGTGTTATGGTAAAATACCTGACACAGGCTGTTTATTAAGAAAAAAGTTTTTGGGGCTGGGGATTTAGCTCAGGGGCATAAGCACCTGCCTTGCAAGCAGGCGGCTGTGAGTTTGATCCCTGGTACAGATAAAAAAGGAAAAGACAAAAGAAAAAAAGAAAAGAATTGTTTTTTTTTTTCACTTCACTGTTTTGAGTTTCAAAGTCCAAAGAGCACGTTTCCATGGCAAATGTGGCTTCCTGATCGCATCACCTGGTAGAGCTGACCAACGGGTAGAAGGTCTTCTGAGAGCAAACAAGGGATTTCACCTCGAACAGGTAGCATAAAGAATAATGGCAGCTATTAGCAGCTATTAGGCTAGGCATTTATCAGCTACTCCATGACATGAACCAATGGGTGCCAGAACTGCCTCTGAGACACACCCTATAATCTAGGGAATCCTCACCGAGTGCCCCCTCTTCAGGGTTCCACACATACCCTCACACCCCAACCCGGGAACCAAGTGCTCATTCGCAGTGGACCCTTGGGGGACCATCAAGAGGCACACAAGCCACAGCACAAAATGATAGTGACTTTTTAATTTCAGTGTCTTTATGTTTAAAAACTATCACAAAGTTATTGTCTGAGTAACTCTGAGGCTAATCACAAAATAAGGTGAAGAAGTTATATTGAAGAAATTAACACATGTAACAACTATGAATCTTTCCATCATCTTTATTTTCTGAATTTGATTCACTGTCATGATTTAGATCTAGAATCTGCCCCACTCCAATAAAACTCATTTTTCCAGAGGTGGGATTTGAGGAGGTGATTGGGTCATGGGAATGTTATTCTCATTAGTAGAGATAAATTCATAGCTGAATGTGCCGTGAAGAGAGGTTCGGATGGAAGATACAGGCCTTGGACCATAACGTGGAAGCCTGTGTCTCCCTGTGTCTTCCCTCACCTTCTGCTTCCTGGGTGCCATGACCAGAGCAGCTTTTCTCAGTTCACCCTCTGCCCTCAGGCCCTTGGGTTTTTTTCTTGAAGGGGCCAACCATGGGCTGCAACCATGACCTATGAATAAGCCTCCCTTCCTTTATTTTGTGAGTGTCAGATATTTTGTCACCATGGTGAGAAAAATGCATCAGATATACACAGCATTACAATCTTAGCCTAACAAAATGTGAGAAACACAGTACAATCTAGACAAGCAGTTTATAGTCACTCATTATTCCAGTGCTCACAAAAAAGAAACCTATTTTGAATTGTTTATATACAGTTCTATCTTAAATATATTTTAGTGAAGTGGCCATCAAAATGTACAAAACTCTACCATATGCCCATATTGAATATCACGGTGAACTAAATGCCAAAATTCTACTCTTTGGGAAAGAACCTATTAGAGACTGTTAACCCTTTTCTTCATACTATCTCTTTCTACTCTTCTAAAACAGAATAGTTTATATGTTTAGGAGTGCAGTGATTTTCCAATTTTATTGTTGTTTATTGTTGTTATTATTATTGTTGATTATTATTTATTGTTTAAGAATTATCCCTGCTGGGCATATTTTCATATTAACTGGGAATAATTTCTCAGATTTAAGGAAGGGGTAGGGAAGCTGCCAGCTTGTATAAGAAAGGACTTTGAAGTCAGACATGGTGGCACACTCCTATAATTCCAGCACTGGGGAGGCCAAGGCAGAAGGATTGGGAATTTGAGACCAATTTGGGTTACATAGTGAGTACAGAGCCAGCCTGAACATACATAGCAAGACCCTGTTTCAAAAACACATTAAAAAAAGAGAAAACTTTGGACAAGTTCCCTGGAATTCACTCTTTGAAAGTCTGTACACATATGTCTGTAGCTTTTATGACTCTAGTCCTAGGATTCGATAATTTATTAAAAAACATTAAAAACATTTTGAGAAGTGCCTGAGAAAAACAGACTCACATATTTTAAGTCACTGTATACTAAACTAGAATTATATACATGTGTATTTATATGTATATGTGTGTACTCAGTGTATCATAGGTATCTTCCTTTAAAGGAAATAGACTGCATGCATGTCAGAATTAATAAATTCTGTACATCAAAGGATACAGGATGGGAATGAAGTCTACAGGGTGAGAAAACATTTGTAAGTCATGTTTCTGATAAGAGGTCAACATAGAATTTATAAGTAGTGTTTATAAAATGTAAGAAACACAGTAGAGTATAGAGAAGCAGTTTATAATCACTCTGTGTTAAGCAAACCAGGAGTGATAAATAACTACAGTGAAGATTTTCCATTAGCTAATTGCATGTTCACGAATATTGATACAGTT